GGCTGGCGCCTTAGCTGGTTGAGCTATAGGCGCCGAGCCGCCAGGCTATTTTTTGGTTGTACTTGTCATTGTTTAAAAGGCCAGGACTGGGTTCGAACCTACCAGCTCCAGTATATGTGGCTGGCCCCCTAGTTGCTGAGCTATAGGCACCAAGCCACCTGGCTGTATTTTATTTTTTATGTATTTATTTATTTTTAGGGAAAAGTGTGAACGCAGTCCCCCACTACCACAAATTATGCAGTCAGTTTCCCACATTTGGGGAAATCGTAGGGGTCAGCACATCCGGAGTGCAATGGATAAGCCTCGCCCTAGGAAAACTGTCTTCATGATCATGTATCTCCCCTGCTGCCTGGCTAGTTTTTAGAGGTTAGGTCTTCATCTGGCTCAGGCTGGTCTTAAACTTGTCAGCCCAGGCATTCCATCCACTTTAGCCTCCCGGTGTGCTGGGGGTATGGGCATGAACCACCTAACTGTTTTTCTGTTTTTTTATTTTGAGACAGAGTCTCAAACTGTCACCCTGTCAAGCAATCCTCTTGCCTCAGTTTTTCTATTTTTAGTAAAGACAGGGGTCTTGCTTTTTGCTCAGGCTGGTCTTGAACTCATGAGCTCAAGCTATCCATCTGCCTGGCCTCCCAGAGTGCTAGGATTACAGCACTGAGTCATTGAGTCACTGTACCCAGCTAGTTTTTCTGTTTTTTTAATAGAGATGGTCTTGTTCATGCTCAAGCAGGTCTCAAATTCCTGAACTCAGGCAGTCTACCTGTCTTGGGTTCCTGGAGTGCTAGAATTATAGGCATGAGCCACTGCACCTGACCCTCCAGGCTACTTCTATATATTAACTCCCCAATTTTTATTTGTAACCCAGATCCCTCCTCTGAACATATTCAACATTTCTACATGAACGTCTCAGAGGCTTCTCAATGTTAGCATATCAGAAATCAAACTCAATTCCCACTCACACTGTTAAGAGCTATTTTAGTATTCTCTGCCTTACTGAATGGCAGCAATGTTATTTTAAATTTACTAATTGATTTCTCTGTAACTATCTTATCCCCTTCCAGTTTGCTCTCCAGGCTTCCATCTTTTTTTTTTTTTTTTTTTTT